CAACCATGCCTCTATCCAGGAAAAAATTTCTCCTCCTATTCCATGTGCTTTAATTTTCCTCAATAGTCTCTGATGTGGGACCCTGTCAAAAAGCCTTACTGAAGTCCATATACACAATATCATATTCATTACCATGATCTACCTCCTCAAATACCTTAGTGAAAAAAGTTAATAAATTCGTAAGGCAGGAACGCCCCTTTGTAAAACCATGCTGAGATTCGTTGATTAATTTATGCTTTTCAAGGTGGCTACGAACTGCCTCGGCAATTATTGATTCCATAAATTTTTCCCACTATGGAGGTTAGGCTTATTGTCTATAGTTCGAAGCTAAGGACCTGTCACCTGTTTTGAAAATAGTATCACATTTGCCATTTTCCACTTATCTGGCACCATGCCAGTTTGTAGTGATATGTTGAAAAGATTAGCCAAAGGTGTGCTAAGCTCCTCTTTACATTCCTTTAGAACCCTTGCATACAGTTCATCAGGCCTGGGATTTGTTAGGTTTTAATTTATCTATTGCCTAAGGACCATGTCACTTGTGACCCTAATAGTGCACAGTTTATTATCGTCCTGTTCTACATAATTTATCATTACTGGAATTCGCTGGTATCCTCCTGTGTAAAAACTGAGAGGAAGTATGTGTTAAAAATTCTACACATTTCCTTATCACTGTCAGTGAGCTGACCCGAGGAACTTTTGAGTGGGCCTATCTTGTCCCTGATCTTACTTCTGTATACCTGAAAGAATCCTTTTGGGTTAGTCTTCGATTCTCTTGCAACTTTAACCTCATAATCTCTTTTTGCTTTTCTAATTCCCTTTTTTATTTCTCTCTTTAACTGAATATATCGATTTCTTAATTGCCCCTCTCCTCTTTTGATTTGCCTATATATGCCTCTCTTTTGACCAATCAGATATTTTAATCTATTGTTCATCCATTTAGGATCATTTTTGTTTGATCTGATTTCCCTATTTGGAACATAATTTGACTGAGCAGCTAGAACTATGCCCTGGAAAGCATCATATCGGCAACCATCACCACCTACCTGACCCTTAGTCAGGTCATTCCAGTTTCAGCCCACCTAAGTAATTTTCAGTCCTATGAAATCAGCCAAGCGAAAGTCAGGGACGGAGACTAGATTGCCATTATTAGGGGAATTCCATGATATGTTAAAACTGAGTGATTTGTGATCACTCTCCCCAAGCTCATCATTAACCTCAAGATTATTAATTAGTGTTTCCCTACTGGCAAGAACCAAGTCAAGGAGGTTATTTCCCCTAGTTGGCTCTGTCACAAACTGTTTTAAAAAGCAATCCTGGATCGTATCAAGAAAGTCACCCGACTCTAAATTTCCTGTCAAATTGCTCCAGTCAATCTGTCTATAGTTGAAATCTCCCATTAGCACAACATTTTCGTATGTAGATGCCTTACGAATTTCGTCCCATAGAAGTTTACTGCACTCCCTATCAAGATTTGGGGCCCTGTAAATCACACCCAAAATTAGTTTTTCTCGGCCCTCGAGAAGCTGTAACCAAACAGATTCAGTGGCTGACGCTTCTAATTTAATATCTTGTCTAACACAACAATTTAAATTGTCTCTGACATACATCGCTACTCCACCACCTTTCCTGTTGACCCTGTCAGTGTGGAATAATTTATAGCCTTGTATGTGACATTCAGAGGGCATCTCTCTATCTTTCAGATTGAGCCAGGTCTCTGTTATAGCAATAATATCTATGTTTCCTGCACTTGCAATTAATCTTAGCTCATCTATCTTATTTCTAACACTCCTGCTATTAGTATAGTAAACCTTAAGGGAGCTAGTCCCTTGCTGCCCTCTGCTGTCCCCCTTTGTTTGCTGACCTGTTCTATTGTCTTTATTTATAACTTCATGCTGAATGCCTTTTATACATTTACTGTTTCCAACCCTAGTGTTGCAACCTGCTTGTTTCCCACACACACCCATACCTCTATCTTCCATCAGTTTAAAATCATAGGCATTTCACCAATGGCCTTCTCATCGAGTCTGCAAGTGCTACCACCCCTGCCCCAGAGAGATGTACCCCATCCCTTGCATACATATCATGTTTGCCATAAAAGTTGTTCCAGTTGTCAATGAATGGGATTGCAAGTTCCTTGCAGTATCTGTCTAGCCAGCAATTTACACCAATTGCCCTAGACAACCATTCATTTCCTACTCCCCTTCTAGGCAAGATGCTACATATGATTGGGATCCCTCCCTTAGACTTAATGAAATCTATAGCTGACCTGTACTTATCTAGCAGCTCTTCTCTCCTACCTTTCCCAATATCATTTCCACCAGCACTGAGACAGATAATGGGCTTGTTCCCATTACCTGACATGATATTATCCAGCCTGTTGACAATGTCCCCAACACCAGCTCCAGGGAAGCACACTCTATCTCTCATCTCTTATTCCTATTACAAAAAGCACGGTCAACATATCTTACCTGAGAGTCACCAACCACAAGAATGCGCTTACCTTCATTAGCAGGGGCAGTAGTACCCTTACCTTCACTGGCCACTGAAGTACATTCATCCTGGAGAACAGAGAAGCGATTTCCTACCTTCAGATCTTCACTCTTAACTTTCCTTACTCTGATGCGCCTCCCATTACTGTGAACAACTCGCCACTTGTAGCAGGTGCTGGACTGCACCTCACTGCTGGTAGCCGTTGCTACCTCCCCACCTACAGCCTCATCACAGTGAGAGACAGACTGCACCTCACTGCTAGAAGCCTCATTCCCCACATCTCCAACCACCTCACACTCTCTCCCAGGCCCATTGAGGTGGACCTTCAGCCTCCTAATCTCCTCCTGGAGAAGCAAGACCTCCTCCTTCAACTCTCCAACCTCAGATTTTAAAACACTGCAGAAGCTATATTTACACCATAATTGACATAAATAAAGCTAGCTTTACACCTGGCCCGGTGGTCTGGTGGCTAAAGCTCCCGCTTCACACACGGAGGGCCCGGGTTCGATTCCCGGCGGGTGGAAACATTTCGACACGTTTCCTTACACCTGTTGTCCTGTTCACCTAGCAGCAAATAGGTACCTGGGTGTTAGTCGACTGGTGTGGGTGGCATCCTGGGGGACAAGATTAAGGACCACAATGGAAATAAGTTAGACAGTCCTCGATGACGCACTGACTTTCTTGGGTTATCCTGGGTGGCTAACCCTCCGGGGTTAAAAATCCGAACGAAATCTTATCTTATCTTATCTTATCTTACTTTATAGTTTATATAAATGAAGGTAATTAAGTTAAGGCTGAGTTTTGTTGGCCTTTAACACCAACAACAACAACAACAAGAGGGAAAAAACTCAAGATATTTGACAATTTAGAAGCTACAAAGTCTCCTGGATGGTATTTCTAACATCAAAATGTTCATAGAAGTGTCTTAAAACATTTAGAAATGATCACCAGGGTGAAATAAGGGCGGAAAGAGGCGGAAAATAGGAATATAAGAGGTGGTGTGTGAGGCAGAGTTGACCTTGAGGAAGTGACTTTCACTGTATCTCGCTCCTCCATTATTTAAAGCCATTTATTGTATTTTTAACCATTTTTTGGGGGGTTATACATTATTTTTAAGCGGTAACATGTGTGTAAATTACCCAGATTAACCCCCAAAATGTAATTATATCCATTGTGTTCCTTGACTTAAGCTTCACAGCTTCGTTATTTAAAGCCATTCACTCTATTTAAGCCATTTTTGGGGGTTATTACTTTATTTTTAGGAGGTAATATGTGTGTAAATTACCCAGGATAACCCAAAAAATTATTTCCATTGGGTTCCTTGACTTAACCGTCCCTGCTGCCTTATTTAACGCCATTTATTCAATATTTTAGCCATTTTTGGGGAGTAATAATATTATTTTTACGAGGTAATATATGTGTAAATTACCCAGGATAACCCAAAAAATATAATTATTTTCATTGGGTTACTTTCACTGCTGCATTACTTAATGTAACTTATTCTGTATTTTAGCCATTTTTTGGGTTATTACATTAATTATTACGAGATAACTTACGTAAATTACCTTGGATAACCTTAAATTACCTTGGATAACCTTGAATTATCTTGGATAACCTTAAATTACCTTGGATACCCTTAAATTATATTGGATAACCTTAAATTACCTTGGATACCCTTAAATTACCTTGGATAACCTTAAATTATATTGGATAACCTTAAATTACTTTGGATACCCTTAAATTACCTTGGATAACCTTAAATTATATTGGATAACCTTAAATTACTTTGAATACCCTTAAATTACCTTGGATAACCTTAAATTACCTTAGATAACCTTAAATTACCTTGAGTAACCTTAAATTACCTTGGATAATCTTAAATTACCTTGGATAACCTTAAATTACCTTGGATAACCTTAAATTACCTTGAATAACCTTAAATTACCTTGGATAACCTTAAATTACCTTGAATAACCTTAAATTACCTTGGGTAACCTTAAATTACCTTGGATAACCTTAAATTACCTTGGATACCCTTAAATTACCTTGGATACCCTTAAATTACCTTGGATAACCTTAAATTACCTTGGATAACCCTACAGAAAGTCAAAAGTGACTTACTTCCACTGGGGTCATTAGTTCCACTGGGGTACTTGACTTCCACTGGGGTCCGTCGTAAGATTTTGTTTAAGTTCCACGACCAGATTATTTTTACGTTTTTAATGGTAAATTACTTTGAAGGGAAGTGCCCTAATGGTGGTGAGGGGCTTTTGATCCAAGAAATTGGACCTGACCTCCCATTCTGTAGGTCAAACCTGGTTGCCTCCCATTCTCTCCAACCTTCAAGTGATGGGCTTTTGTTCCTAGGAAATGAAGCTACACTTTCTTTGGATAAAACCAAATTACTCTCCCATCTCCATTGTTTTTTTACCCTTATGGGTTTAGTGGTTACCATTCCTCCAGAAATTTGTCCATGAATTACGAAATCTAATTTTTCCTTTTCATTCCAGATTATGAACAACTAGCCTTTGGCCACCGGGAAATCACGACCAGCGCGCCAAGATGAAGTTCGCAGAGCATCTTGCGGCGCATATTACGCCGGAGTGGAGGAAGCAATATATTAGTTATGAGGAGATGAAGGCATGTTCTTAATTAATTTTTACTACAATAATAACAGTAACAATGACAAGTTTATTTCAGCATGATTCATGTTTGTACAAAGGAGTGTAACAATATGGTGAACTTGCCAAAAGTTGTTAAGTTTGCCCCGAAATGTAGAGCATTTCGGGGCAAACTTAAGACTAAATTAAGATTAAGCTTAATTTAAGATTTATAATACATTAGTGCCCGAGTCCACGGGGGATACCTTCCAAGACTTACTGTGGATACCTGAAACCATGGTTTGTTTGAAGTCATGTCATTACGATTTCATGAGTCTGAAACCACGGATAGTAGCGGATCCTATATATAAGTCATTTTTCCTTTACAGACATACCTATGATAAAGTTTAATTCATAAATTAAGCAAAATAAGTCTAGAATTAGGACTTTTTTCACTGATAGGAAGCATTTCATGGCTTCTCTTAGGCTTTGGGGAACTGCCACCATCACTACTTTTGCACTTTGTGGCCATCATTAAGCATATTTGGGGGTTATTTTTTGGGCCACAGTAAAGCATGGATAACTGAAACTGTGGATACCGAATCCATGGATACAGGGGTGCTGCTGTAATGCATAATTAAAATCTACCACTCCATAACCTATGTCTAGTACAAGTGTTTAAGGTCCCCAGTGGAAATAAGTCACTTTGTGTCAGACTTTTTTGGGTTATTCTAGTAGGTAATCTACACATATGCTGCTGTGTATGATAATTTATGTAACTATTTACAGTGGAACTTTGGTACTCGAACAGCTCCCTACTCGAGCAAAGCTCAGCACTCGAACAAACAAATACAACCTCCCAGAACTTCACTGTAAACTATTTCATGTTTCTTCGCATTTTTTGTTGTTTTTTTATATTATTTGTATAAATAAGTCGCCATGGGGCCTACGAAGATTAGTGATAACAGCCGACCAAATAGAAAATTGGTTTGGAAAAATTTGTTTGATACTCGAACAGATCGGCACTCAGCCTTCTGGAATGAATTAACTTTGAGTAGCAAGGTTCCACTGTATGTGTACCTATACCTAAATAACCTTACTGCCATTAGTTGTGCTTCTGCATATCACTTCATGTTGTGTTCAGAATGCTCTGCACATTAAGGGGCTTTCTGCATACACACCCAAATGTCACCTGTTTCTGTACAAACATTGTATTATGCTGAAATAAAGACTGTGAATGGTGTTACAGGCTATGTTATATGCTGCTGTGGAGCAAGCCCCATCATCTGAGGTCACTGAAGCTGAAGTTATAACTCGATACTATGCCCGATTTGATGAGCAGTTCTTTCGGGTGTGTGACAAAGAATTAGCGAAGATCAACACTTTCTTCTCAGGTGAATATCAAAATGATACTGTTTTTTAATCTAAAGAATTAAAAAGCACAATACCATGACTGGTACAATACACAAATAACCTGCACATAGGAGAAAGAAACCCACGAGTTTTTTCCTTCTATGTGCTGGTTAGCTGTGTATTCTTTCACTTATGTGTAGATTATTTGTGTACAATTGTTGTCTCTTCAGATACTGTTTTATGTTGCATCTTGTAGTCAAGTTTTAAGCTTGGAGTGAGTTGTCCTCTAAACTTCTGCCTGAGCTAAGTGCTGTTAAATATTATTTTCTCATTGTGGTGATCATGAATCCTTAGCTAATAAGTTTTTTCCCAGCTTCTTGATTGATATTTTTAATACCCAAGTGTCATGGAACTTGTAAATTTTTTCTGGCATAATATATATAACAATAGCGACTAGAATACTGGGAGCAATGGGCTAGTAACACCTCGTGTATAAATTACTAAATGTGAAAAGAAGAAACACTTTTGTTTCTTCTTTTTCAGGTCACCCTGCCTCGGTGATAACCCTGTCTCAGTGATCGCCCTGCCTTGGTGATCACCCTGCCTTGGTGGTCACCCTGCCTCGGTGGTCACCCTGCCTCGGTGGTCACCCTGCCTCGGTGGTCACCCTGCCTCGGTGGTCATCTTGCCTGGGTGGTCACCCTGCCTCGGTGATCACCCTGTCTAGGTGATCACCCTGCCTTGGTGGTCACCCTGCCTCAGTGGTCACCCTGCCTCGGTGGTCATCCTGCCTGGGTGGTCATCCTGCCTGAGTGGTCACCCTACCTCGGTGATCACCCTGTCTCAGTGATCACCCTGCCTGGGTGGTCATCCTGCCTGGGTGGTCATCCTGCCTGGGTGGTCACCCTGCCTCGTTGATCACCCTATCTCGGTGATCACCCTGCCTGGGTGGTCACCCTGCCTGGGTGATCATCCTGCCTGGGTGGTCACCTTGCCTGAGTGGTCACCCTGCTTGTGTGGTCACCCTGCATCAGTGATCACCCTGCCTGGCTGGTCACCCTGTCTGGTTGGGAGACGGCCGGTGTGTTAAAAAAAGCATACATCATACACATCCTTACAGAGAAGATGGCTGAAGCAACCAGAAAATATACCACACTGACATCGGACTTACAAGCATCAAAGGATCAACATGGGGATGGCCTTCGCAACCGCAAGGGCTTCACCTTTCTACCCAAACTCAACGTACCAGCGAGGAAGATGCAGGATCTGAAACTGGCATTTTCAGAGTTCTACTTAAGTCTTATACTTCTTCAGAACTATCAGAACCTCAATTTTACTGGCTTTAGAAAGATTTTGAAGAAACATGATAAAGTTAGTAAACTGTGGCTGCTGTTGTACATATAACACACAAACCTTTACTAAGACAAATGGAGACACACGGTGAAGTGGGAAATATATAAATAACAAAAAGGCACAATACCATGACTGAAACTATACACAAATAACCCGCACATAGGAGAGCAGAGCTTATGATGACGTTTCAATCTGACTTGGACCCTTTACAAAGTCACATTCTTTGTAAATAGTCCAAGTTGGCCTGAACTGTCACGGTAAGCTCCTATCTCTCCTATGTGTGGGTTATTTGTAAAGTGGGGAAATATACACGCTCCTCAGTGTATGATGGTTCAACTTTAGATATTTTGACTTTACAATGGTAAGGTACAGTACATACTGTACAGTACAGTACAGTACTGTACAGTTCAGTACTGTACTGTACAGTAATTATTTGTTTATTTGACTTATTCAGTAACAGTAATATTTATCATATCATATATTCATATTCAACCTCATTGTAGGTTGATGTTATGTTCCAATAAACATAACTTCAACTTGACTAGAGTTGTGACCAGATCTACCTGGAGTTCATTACCTTTGTAACTAGTTCAGCTATCATAACTTTGGGGTCCAGTCCCTGGACCAATTATGTACCTCTTATCTTTTGACTACCGCCCACAGGATGGGTATGTGGTGACTACCGCCCACAGGATGGGTATGGGGTGACTACCACCCACAGGATGGGTATGGGGTGACTACCGCCCACAGGATGGGTATGTGGTGACTACCGCCCACGGGATGGGTATGGGGTGACTACTGCCCACAGGACGGGTATGGGGTGACTACCGCCCACAGGATGGGTATGGGGTGACTACCGCCCACAGGATGGGTATGTGGTGACTACCGCCCACAGGATGGGTATGTGGTGACTACCGCCCACAGGATGGGTATGGGGTGACTACCACCCACAGGATGGGTATATGGTGCATAATAAACATATTAAACTAACTAGAGTTAGAGATTACAAAATATAAGTTCCACTTCCCGATGTGTCTTATTTTGTCTCCGTGCGCTATGTACACCCGTACCATATGAAAATATAAGACTTATACAAAGTATATTGAAAGATTAAAGTGCATTATTACAGTGCCTGCACTCTGAAGGACGGGGTGTTAATGTTGCAGTTTAAAAACTTTAGTGTAAAGCATCCTTCTGGCAAGACAGTGATGGAGTAAATGATGGTGAAACTTTTTCTTTTTCGGGCCACCCTGCCTTGGTGGGAATCGGCCAGTGTGATAATAAATAAATAAATATTACCCGCAATATCAGTGCATGGACACAAGTGCATATATACCATATTTCGTGGCATATTAGATGCATGTTTTTTTCCATAAAATGTCTCCAAAAACCACCCTGCATCCTATAAACTAAAGGTCAGTGACAGGAGCTATAAGTTTGGGGTGTGGGGTGGACCGTAGCTCTCCCAGTTCATCCAATGCCAAGTCATTGAAACTGAAACGCGTCTTATAAGCCGCGTCTCATAAGCCATGAAATACAGTGGACCCCTGGTTTACGATCAGCTCCCAATGCGACCAATTATGTAAGTACATTTATGTAAGTGCATTTGTATGTGTATGTTTGGGGGTCTGAAATGGACTAATCTAATTCACAATATTCCTTATGGGAACAAATTCGATCAGTACTGGCACCTGAACATACTTCTGGAATGAAATAATATCGTAAACTGGGGGTCCACTGTACAGTACTTTGGACATCTGGGACTGAGGTCCCAGGAGTAAACATGTCCAGTAGAGATGTCTTGAAGTGTCATTTGTGTCCTGAATCCACCATGTACAGAATATGTTTTCATTAAGCGTTTATCTTCAACAGCTCATGAGTACATCAGATGGAGCTAAGTGGAGAGAAGATAATGTTGATTGCTCTCCCTTCAATACCAATAAAGACATTGACAAGCTCATTCAAGAGGTAAGCTGACATTGTACTCTATTGGACTGAGTGAGTGATGATGAGAGTGTCTTCTTTTTTGGGTCACCTTGCCTTGGTGGGAAATGGCCGATGTGTTAAAAAAAAAAATGAGGTGTAGTATCGACATGTCTCTGGCAAGACAGTGATGGAGTGAATGATGGTGAAAGTGTTTCTTCTTTTTTGGGTCACCTTGTTAAAAAAATACTACTCATTCGGGTTGCCAGCTGTATTAAAAGAAAGATAAAGCATGGAACAGTTGAGGTTCAGATTTCACCCATTCCATGGTCTGTTTACAATGTTGTTATTACAGTTTTGTTAAAAGACAGATTATGGTCATGACTGGTACTTATGTCCCTGCAGGTTGAAGGTACCTTCACCTCAGAGCTGGAACAAGGTGACCGTCAGAGAGCCATGAAACGACTGCGTGTGCCTCCCCTGGGTGAAGCTCAGAGCCCCTGGACCACATTTAAAGTTGGACTCTTTTCTGGAGCATTTATTGTCCTTATTGTCTCAGTTATTCTCTCAGGTGAGGTGTAAGCATTGTCATGTTAAACTGTAGAGGATTTGGAATATATCTTGTCTTAGATATTTTATGTTGACGAGTAAGACATATCCAACTGTTGTGCATGTTGGTATTTTATACCATTTTCAACATATTCAGAATGGTGGATTAGGGGCTCAAACTGGGGTCCGTAAACTGACAGTCCGATGCTCTACCGTCTAGGCTAACCCTATTAGAGGCCTGGATTAGTCTAGGTGGTAGAGCGTCAGACTGTCAATTTACAGACTGCAGTTCAAGCCCCTCATTCACCCTTCTGTTTATTCATTGACATTGTTTATTATAACTCGATTTGAGTTCATATGTACTTTAAACACATGATTATTTTTGTTCTTCAGGAATCTTCCACTGGGGTTCACACAACTTGCAGGTCGTCCTGCGGCTCTTCCGAGCTCCACTCATGATCATTCTCTTCCTCTTTCTCATTGGCATCAACATCTATGGCTGGAGATCATCTGGAGTCAATCATGTCCTTATTTTTGAAATAGACCCCAGGAACCATTTGACAGAACAACATCTAATTGAGATTGCAGCAATTTTTGGTAAGATTTGTTGCTTTATTTTGTATGTTGAGTCTTGGAGGTGGGAAGTACAGTGCCTGCACTCTGAAGGAGGGGTGGGGATATTTGCTGTTTGGAAGAGCATCTAAACTGTTGTATCTGTGTAGTGTGAATGATGATGAAAGTGTTTCTTTTTCGGGTCATCCTGCCTCGGTGGGAGATGGCCAATGTGTTAAAAAAAATACAGGAATGACAGTGTTTTACAATGTATCTTTTGTATCACTTGCAGGTGTAATTTGGGCACTGAGTGTGCTAGGGTTCCTCTATGCAGAAGCTTTATCCATCCCTTCATATACTGTTCCCTTGGCTCTTCTCTGTTTTATGATGCTGTTTCTTCTTAACCCAACAAGAACATTCCATCATGAAGCTCGCTTCTGGCTTCTTAAAAAGCTGGTAAGTAGTAATTATATAGCCAAAATTTCGTAATGATGGTAACAAATAAATAGTATTGTTGGCAACCTTTTTTTTTTTTTTGTGATAAAAATACTGAATAAAGTAGTGGTTCTGGTGCCTTGTAAATCATACAGGTCAACAAAATGGTTGAACATCCTCACCGAGAGTATCATACACTCCTATCATAAACATTATCTCTCAGTCCACAGCAGGATTCGAACCTACAAACTCGGCATCGACTCAGTGATAATGTTTGTAAATAGTTTTGCCTATTTGTGAATTGTTAAAGATTCCTTCTATCATATATACAGTACCAGCCTAAAGCAGCTTCAGTCATCCCTCCTGCGTCCTAAACAAAAATCGCTGTTGTATTAAATTCATGAAGCTATTTTCCAATTTTCCCTGGAAGTTGCATTGTAGAATTTGCAGATATACAGTGGACCCCCGGTTAACGAACTTTTTTCATTCCAGTAGTATGTTTAGGTGCCAGTACTGACCGAATTTGTTCCCATAAGGAATATTGTGAAGTAGATTAGTCCATTTCAGACCCCCAAACATACACGTACAAACGCACTTACATAAATACACTTACATAATTGGTCGCATTTGGAGGTGATCGTTAAGCGGGGGTCCACTGTAATTTGTTTTTCTTGTTAAATTTTTTCAACACACCAGCCATCTGCCCATAAACCATGCATGTTGTAAGAGGCGACTAAAATTCTGGGAGCAAGGAGCTAGTATCACCTTCTCCTGTGTAAATTACTAAATATAAAAGTAAAAAAACACTTGTTTTTTCTTTTTTTGGATCACCTTTCCTCGGTGGTAGATGGCCGATGTGTTAATGAAAAAAATTAATTTTAATTATTTTATCTTAATATTGTCATTCACTCACTCTTGAGAAAGCATTGTTCAGCATGACTGTTGATGTTTCAGGGACGAGTGGTGTGCGCACCATTCTGCTTTGTGCAGTTTGCGGACTTCTGGCTGGGTGACCAACTGAACACCCTCGTGCAGGTGCTGAAGGACTTTGAATACTCTCTCTGCTTCTATACTCAAGGCATCAACTGGTATTCAAGTCTAAATGGTAAGTTAATGCCAAGTGTTCATTTTGTCAGCCTTAATCTGATTGTTCTCCATGGGGAAGTGGAAAAGAATTCTTCCACTGTAAGCCATATTTGTCGTAAGAGGCTTCTAAAATGCTGAGAGCAAGGGGTTAGTAACCCCTTCTGTATATATTACTAAATTTAAAAAGAAAAACAAATTGTTTTTCTTTTTAGGTCACCCTGCTTCAGTGGGAGACAGCCAGTGTTAAAACAAAATCTAATCGTTATCATGCTGGACTTTTGTAATACGGCGAAACCTCAATGTAAAAAATTGATAACGACCCTTTAAAATATTCGGAACAATTCATTGGGTAGATTGTACTTGTAACTCCGTTATTTTCAGTGGGGTATTTGCAGTTTTGAAGATAGTGTGGTAAGAGAGGTGAATATTCAAATATGTAGACTCAAGGAGAAATAAATATTTTTCCTATGCTTCTCTGAGGCTATGGCTGGACCCCATCTGTTATGCAATAAATATTACCATACCACGGGCGGGATTGAACCTGCGGTCAGAGAGTCTCAAAACTCCAGACCGTTGCATTAGCCACTGGAGTTTTGAGACTCTGACCGCGGGTTCAATCCCGCCCATGGTATGGTCAGTTTGCAATCGTGTCATTACGATTTCGTGAGTCAATAAATATTGTTTACCTATTTATCAAAAAAGTGAATTTCATGTACCCTTCACTGACATGTTTGCGACAATATTTTTTTTCTATTTTTCTGCAGTAGATGATAACGTGTGTATCGACAAGACGCAGGTGGTGCGCAATATTGTCGCATGTCTGCCTGCTTGGTGGCGCTTTGCCCAGTGCCTTCGTCGGTACCGTGACACTCGTGAAATGTTCCCTCATCTTGTTAATGCGTTCAAGTACGCCACCACGTTCTTCGTTGTAACGTTCACCTGTCTCACGCACTTGTACAGAGGTAAGGCTTGTTGTACGTTCCCTAGGCATCATAAAGCCCCTTAGAATTTACTGCTTCCCCTGTCAAAATAATACTAATAATTACTCATTATAAGGAGAGATGTATAATTTCAATATGGCTATAACAAGGAGCAAGATTATATATATAGAAGCAAAAAAATTTTGGAGATTAAATATGTATATGTTAAATATACAGGGTGTTTCAAAAAGATGGACCCAATTTGTATTATTATTATTATTATTATTATTATTATTTGTGAAAAAAATTTTGAATAGGTCAAAATTAATGTATTTCATTAGTGTTAAGTAGTACTAACTCAATGAAGAATTAAATATTTTGATTTTGGGGTAGTTTAGCTTTTTTGAATGACTTTCTAAAAAGCACAGGAAGTTTGAGTCTTGTGTTATCTTTGAAGGGTCTCAGGAACACTGGTTAGCCAGTATTGAGTTCTGGAGGTGGGAAGTACAGTACCTGTACTCTGAAAGATGGGTGAGGATGCAGTTCTAGTGGTGGGAAGCACAGTACCTGTACTCTGAAGGATGGGTGAGGATGTGGTTCTGGAGGTGGGAAGTACAGTGCTTGCATTCTGAAGGATGAATAGGGGTATTGTAATTCAGAGTATCATTTAAATTACACTTTCCATACATTTTTATAGAGGCAATTACTGAATAAACAAAGGTAAATATATCTTATTATTTGCATATAGTCGGACTTGAGTCCTGGAAATGGGAAGTACAATGCCTGCACTTTAAAGGAGGGGTTTGGGATATTGGCAGTTTGGAGGGATATGTTGTGTATCTTTATACGTATATGCTTCTAAACTGTTGTATTCTGAGCACCTCTGCAAAAACAGTGATTATGTGTGAGTGTGGTGAAAGTGTTGAATGATGATGAAAGCATTTTCTTTTTGGGGATTTTCTTTCTTTTTTGGGTCACCCTGCCTCGGTGGGAGATGGCCAACTTGTTGAAAAAAAAAATAAAAAAAAAATATCTTTATTTTGGGGTAGTTGGGGGTCATCTTACTTTCTTGGAGGAACATCTGACAGTATTAAAAAAAAGCCCAGACCTTGACATACTCATGAAAGAACATTGTAAACATTTCAGATCAGTACGAGGATGGCATCAACAATCCTTTCTTCTACATGTGGGTGGGATCAATGCTCTTCAGCTCATGTTTTGTCTTCTGGTGGGATATGGTGATGGATTGGGGTCTCTTTGAGAAGAATGCCGGTGAATACAAGTTCCTGCGTGAAGAGCTTGTTTATTCTTCACCGGTAAGCCATTTAATCTTTTTTTTTAAAATATTATTATTATTATTATTTTAATATGCTGGCTATCTCTCACCAGGGCAGGGTGAGCAGAAAAGAAATGCTTTCACTGTCATTAACATTATCACTGTCTTGCCAGAGGTACATAGATATGTACATGGAAAATGAGGCACGTGTCTAAATTTTCAAGTATTTTTTCAGTGCACTGGCTGCCTCCCACTGAGGCAGGGTGACCTAAAGAAAAAAAAACGAAAGTTTTTGTTTTTAAATGTGATAATAAATTCTAAATTCTACTTATTAAAATCCCAAACTTGTTTCAAATTCTTGCTAGACAAATACCAGCTTTTTTCCGAACTTGTACAGCTTTGCTGTGTCTCTCTCACAAACCCCTCTAATTCTAATTCCTCTAATGTAGTTTAATGTGATTGCAGGAAGTCCTCAACATACAAACACTTTGGGGACCAATATTGTGTATAATAATGATAATATAAACAATAATAATAATGATATTATACATGGTACAGAAGATTATCAACATATTTGTAAGTTGAGGGCTTACAGTATTAACATTTTGACCATTGCTGTTATGTACAGAATTTCTTTTATCGTGACGTGTACGTTTATCTTTATTCCAGTACTACTATTACTTTGGCATCGTGGAAGATTTTATTCTAAGATTTAGTTGGACCTTCTCTCTCACTCTCACCGAGCTTAAGCTGACCAACGGTGAAATTATTGTTTCCATACTTGCTCCGTTGGAAATTTTCAGGTACGTATAGCCTCTAAACTTGTATATATACATGTATTATTATTATTATTATTGTTATTATTATTTTGATTATTATTTTATTATTGTCATAATAATTATTATTATTATTATTATTATTATTATTTAACATACTAGTTGTCTCCCACCATAGGAGTCATGCAACTCCTTGAAAATGGTATGTAACTAGGTTTGATCCAAGGAAGAGGAGGGTACCTCCAATATTTAAGATGAAGAGTGATTCCCCAGCATCAAGGTACCACCTTGATAGCTCAAACTTGCATTCCCCTCAAGGAAGGTTCCTTGATGTTGGTGAGGGGCTCTTGATTTAGAGAATTGGATCTGTGCTCCAGTTCCCCGAATTAAGCCTGAATGCCTTCCACATCCCCCCCCCCAGGCGCTGTATAATCCTCCGGGTTTAGCGCTTCCCCCTTGATTATAATAATAATAATCAAACTTGCATTATAAATATCAACTTTCACAGTGTACTGTGTTGTATTTTCTTAGTGTTGAAATAGCTCCCAGATATTCAATAAAACTTTTATGAGTTGAGTAAGATGAAATTTTTGTAAAAAAAAAAAAAATTATTTGATGAGTACATTGTTAGTTTTGGTGAATAAGACACTTCTGTCATATTTTTTTTTTTTTTAACAAGTCGGCCGTCTCCAACCGAGGCAGGGTGACCCAAAAAGAAAGAAAATCCCCAAAAAGAAAATACTTTCATCATCATTCAACACTTTCACCACACTCACACATAATCACTGTTTTTGCAGAGGTGCTCAGAACACAACAGTTTAGAAGTATATACGTATAAAGATACACAACATATCCCTCCAAACTGCCAATATCCCAAACCCCTCCTTTAAAGTGCAAACATTGTATTCTTCCCATTTCCAGGACTCAAGTCCGGCTATATAAAAATAACCAGTTTCCCTGAATTTTTTTTTTTTTTTTCCAACAAGTCGGTCGTCTCCCACCGAGGCAGGGTGACCCAAAAAAGAAAGAAAATCCCCAAAAAGAAAATGCTTTCATCATCATTCAACACTTTCACCACACTCACACATAATCACTGTTTTTGCAGAGGTGCTCAGAACACAACAGTTTAGAAGTATATACGTATAAAGATACACAACATATCCCTCCAAACTGCCAACATCCCGAACCCCTCCTTTAAAGTGCAAACATTGTATACTTCCCATTTCCAGGACTCAAGTCCGGCTATATAAAAATAACCAGTTTCCCTGAATTTTTTTTTTTTTTTTTTTCAACAAGTTGGCCGTCTCCCACCGAGGCAGGGTGACCCAAAAAAAAAAAGAAAGAAAATCCCCAAAAAGAAAATACTTTCATCATCATTCAACACTTTCACCACACTCGCACATTATCACTGTTTTTGCAGAGGTGCTCAGAATACAACAGTTTAGAAGCATACACATATAAAGATACACAACATATCCCTCCAAACTGCCAATATCCCAAACCCCTCCTTTAAAGTGCAGGCATTGTACTTCCCATTTCCAGGACTCAAGTCCGACTATATGAAAATAACCGGTTTCCCTGAATCCCTTCACTAAATATTACCCTGCTCACACTCCAACAGCTCGTCAGGTCCCAAATACCATTCGTCTCCATTCACTCCTATCTAACATGCTCACTCATGCCTGCTGGAAGTCCAAGCCCCTCGCCCAATATTTGGATATCTTTATTAGGGAAGTGTTTTGCCAGCCAGTGGTTTCTTCAGTCCATTATATGGACTGATGGTGGAAGATAAGGAGGCGTTTGAGGTAATCAGTCTCTCAATCTGGAGTCCATGTGTTGAGTCCATCAGTCTTGAGCACATCAACTACAGGCTGAGGGACTGATTACCTCAAACTCCTCTTCCTCCTCCTCATCTTACATCGTTCTTCTCTGCATTAGACTGAAGAAGCCACTGACTATCTAAATGTTCCCACTATACATACCTAGTTTTGGTAATTTTGAATAACACTTCTAGCAGACAACTGTTGAATGATAGTGAATATGTTGGAGATATCTTGCAGTCTTTGAACTGTAGTGTTGGTGCACCTCTGGCAGGACAGTGATGGAGTGAGTGATGATGAAAGTGTTTCTTCTTTTTTGGGTTACCCTACCTTGGTGTATTAACCTTTAAAAGCACTTATGGCAAGGCAGCTACTGAATGAATGATGGTGAATGTGTCTTTTTTTTTTTTTTTTGGGCCTCCCTAACTTGGTGTGAAGATGACTGGTATGTTCTGAAACCTAAGTTATTAGTTTGAGCTTATATTTGACAATAAAGTGACAATATTTGACTCATGAACATGTTCAAAGTTCATCTATCATTTGACCACATTCTTGTTCATTTGCTGATTTAATGAAAGTTTGGTTTCAGGCGATTCATATGGAACTTCTTCCGTCTTGAGAACGAACACATAAACAACTGTGGTAAATTCCGAGCCGTACGAGATATTTCCGTGATACCCATGGATGCTTCTGATCAGGCCCAGGTGAGTGCAAAACCCTAAGGAACTTACAGTGGAACCTTGGTCCTTGAACAGGTCCCTACTTGAACAATTCAGTATTCGAACTCTTTGTTCGGTAAAAAATCACTTGGTAGTCAATTGTTTGCTTGGCACTCGACTAAACAAACATGACCTGCCAGAACTTGATTATAAACCATTTCATATTTCTTCGCATTTTTTGGTGTTTTTTTTATACATATTATTTGTATAAAAAAGTCACCATGGGGCCTAAGAGGGTTAGTGATAACAGCCAACCAAAAAAAATATTGGTTGGGAGCAATTCGTTCAGTACTCGAACAGATCGGCACTCGAACAGCCTTCTGGAATGAATCAAGTTCGAGTACCAAGGTTCCACTGTATTACAGTAAGTCCTTAACTTAAAAACACACTGGGGACCTCCTGTATTGTGTATAATATTCATAATACAGGAAGTCTTCAACTTACGAACACACTGGGGACCTCCTGTATTGTGCATAATAACGATATTATACACAATACATATTTGTAAGTACATGTACTTACTGTATTCTGGTATGTAGATAAATGGTACAGAGAACCGTAAAGTTGATAAATTAGACATATGTGCAACACTGGGGTATCTTTATTATGGAAATGTTTCACCACACAATGGCTTCATCAGTCCATTGCAAAGAAGAATGGTGAAGATCAGGAGTTTGAGGTAATCAGTCCTTCAGGTCTGGAGTTGAAGTAATCAGTCCATCGATCCTGAAATCATTGATGGTGTTACTGGTAATGCTCAATATAATTTATTTATATTGAGCATTACCAGTAACACCATCAATGATTTCAGAACCTCGGCAGTCGAACTTAATTGGTTCCAGAAGGCTGTTTGAGTGCTGATCTGTTCGAATTTTATCCAACCAATTTTCTTTTTGGTGGCTGTTATCACTAACCCTCTTAAGTCCCATGGTGACTTATTTACACAAATAATATAAAAAAATGTGAAGAAACACAAAATAGTTTACAGGGAAGTTCTGGCAGGTCATGTTTGTTTGGTCGAGTGCCAAGCAAACGGTTGAATACTGAGCGATTTGTTTAGCAAACAAAGGGTTCGAATACTGAATTGTTCAAGTGTGGAGCTGTTCGAGTACCAAGGTTCCACTGTACAGTGGAACCCTAGTATTTCAATATACCTGACCTAGAACAAACTGGAGTCCGAATAATTTTGTTCCTAAGAAATTGACCCAATCTTTGAACGTTTTTCCGGAGTCAAAACATGCTGACATGTTTAAAATTCAGTTGTAAAAACTTTACAGGAAAGCCCTGTTTCAGAAGTGCTTTGACGTGACATCTGACATTGACTTAACTCTTAGAGACTTATGGAAGAGTCAATTCAACATCCTCCAGTGTAAGAGGCTATAATTAAAGCCTGAGAAATACTGTTTCCCATATCCAACTTTTTGCAGGTCAAGCACCGGAACCAGTTAAGTTCATACAGCAGGGTTCCACTGTATGTACAGGAGAAAACTTATTACTTAGGCTTGCATATTAAAAATTTTTTGGTACAATGAGCATGGCTCTGGCCTCAGTTGTTTGAGCTTGATGCAAAGGTCTGTTTGTTATGTTTTCCAACCTTGAGGCCAAATAGCTTTATTTTCCTTGCCTCCTAATGGTTGATTTTTCTTATAGCAATAAGGATTTAGAAGGCTGAGTTGAAATGTTTTGTAATAGTCATTTGTTAGTGATGATTGTTTTATTGATCTTATTTAAAGAGTTTGTTGTATATCTGATAGTAGCCTACAAAATTAATATGGCAAACTTGACTTACCTGACCAATAGGAGAAGAGTGGTTGGCCTGTAATGGTGATTGTGGTATATAGAGATGGGATTATTTTGCTATAATTGTTATAATAATAGTTGAATCTAACCCCTTCTCCTGTATATATTACTAAATGTAAAAGGAGAAACTTTCATTTTTCCTTTTGGGCCACCCCGCCTCGGTGAGATACAGCCGGTGTGTTGAAAGAAGAACGGTTGAATCTTTAATAAGTGTACTTTGTCCATTGATTCTGAATCAGTTGATCCAGGGGATTTTGTTCAGTATTTCCAAAGGCTGTTAAATCGAGATCCATTAAATTGAGTGCTTTTTGTATACAGTGTCTTTCCATATATTTAAGGATATGGGAGTACCAAAGTATCTGTATTGGTGATCGTTGACCAGTTTTGATAGTATCAGTATTGGTCCTAGTATCTGTGGCTCACTAATAATTTTGATGGTATTGTAACTGACCTAAAATTGAGCATTAGTATTGGCCAAAAAAAAAGCAGTGTCATCCCATCCCTAATTAAGAAATTATGATTATTTTTCAGATTGTGAAGATGATGGACGAGCCTGATGGTATAGTAAATCGGAAAAAGAAGAAGGCGGGCGGCAAACAACGTAAGGGAATTGATGCTCGACCTTTGCTTGCTGAAGGGACAGGTGGTGGTGTTGGCGAGAGTGTTGACGAAGAGGCAAACTACCTCACCGTCACCTCTGTAGAGCTTCGCAACTGGTTTCGGGGGATAACTGGTCATCGCAACACACACACTGCTAACACCTAACTAGATACAGTGTTAGTTAGAGATATAAAATATTAACTGCATGCAGGGAAGATAGTGTATAACTGGGGATATATTAGACAACCTCTAGTGCTAGAAAAATTCGTACGATTCCATAATTTGTAAAACTTTAGTATGTGTTTAACACGTGACAAATTTTTCACAATGCTATGTGTGGTAATGATCTCATATACATATTTTATATTTAATTTGGAAATGTCAAAACATTGTTTTTAATATATTTGTGTATATTGTCTTGTATAAGTTGCTTATACTAGAGAGGTATGTATGAAGCCACTCCATGGGGAAGTGGAGAAGAATCCTTCCTCCATAAGCCTTGTATGCCGTAAGAGGTGACTAAAAATGCCGGGAGCTAGGTGCTAGTAACCCCTTCTCCCGTACAAGTTACTAAATGTTCGGAGAAGATGATTTTATATTTTTTCATTTTTTTTTGGTCACCCTTCCTTGGTGGGAGTTGGCCGTTATGTTAAAAAATATATAAAGCTGTAAGTGCATTGGGTTTCTGCTGTAGATAAAACTTTTTATGTCAAATTACTGAACATTTGTAAAATAGGAGTGAATGGAGACAAATGGTTTTTAATACTTGATGTGCTGTTGGAGTGTGAGCAAAGTAACATTTATGAAGGGGTTCAGGGAAACCGGCAGGCCGGACTTGAGTCCTGGAGATGGGAAGTACAGTGCCTGCACTCTGAAGGAGGGGTGTTAATGTTGCAGTTTAAAAACTGTAGTGTAAAGCACCCTTCTGGCAAGACAGTGATGGAGTGAATGATGGTGAAAGTTTTTCTTTTTCGGGCCACCCTGCCTTGGTGGGAATCGGCCGGTGTGATAATAAAAAAAAATAAAAAAAAAAAAAAATTGTAAAATTGTGCGTTTGATGAATATTTCAGGTGCAAAACTTGAGAGTTCCAGCTGCTAACTATGATTAGTTGCAACTTCCATAGAAATTATCTTGTTTGACTATCATTTTTTATTTTTTTAATTACATTTTTCTAAAATTATCACAATAAAGAATTCCAGTCTTCGACAGATCCACGATAAGTATAACTGTGTTTTGACAGTTTGGCCATTAAAACATTAGTTTCATTCACGGTATTACGTCCTGTTTTCCCAAGATATTATTAGCACTGTTGTGTGAAAGCCATTGCATATAAAGAATAAAAAGTCACAATAGCGTGACTAGATCAATACACAAATAACTCACACAGGAGAAAGAAACTTGTGAGCACGTTTTGGATGGACTTGGACCATTAACTAGCTGCACACTGTGTGACTAGTGTTTGGCTAGTTAGTGGTCCAAGGATTGAAATGTTGCTATAAGTTTCTCCTATGTACAGGTTGTTTGTCCATGAAATGCATGATTACAAATATGGAAAATACCATTAAAAAATTAAGAGGTGATTTAGAGACCTTGGATATTTTCCGTTGCATTCACACACCTGTCTATGGGGGGACTAATTTCTCCGAAGATTGTGTGTGTGAATGATTCAGTATTTCCCGTTTAGTATTTTTATATGTAAATGCTTGAATTGCAGTTGTGTGCGTCTTTTTTTGACACGCATATATCCCGAACTTAGCATTGAGTTATAAGTGCAGTCGTTGCAAACTGTGTAGTGGCGTAATGAAACAATGCACATATCTGGAAGTTAACATCTGATATGCTGTATGTAACTTTGATTAACCACAAGTTGCATAGTCTGAGTGGACATAAACCAAGAGTTGTGTCTTTCTCAGCCTATGTGCTCTGAGAGTTTTACCTTAATTCTTATGACTTAAGAAATCGTAATGACACGATTGCAAATAAACACCTATGGTGTAGAAATATACCTAGTTGGATGAATCTTATTGTGGCTAGCTGGTCTAGTGGCTAGCGCGACGGGCTGGAGTTTTGAGACTCTATGACCGCGGGTTCAATCCCGGCCGGGGGTATGGCTTAATTCTTATTCTGGGGAGTAGCGTATTCTGGAGTAATAGTAAACAGGTTATATGCAGTCTTAATAACTTTTATGTAGATGATAAACCTTAAACCCCATTAACGAACCTGGTTTGAAGAATTAAGAGTCACAACACCGTGACTGGAACAATACACAAATAATTTATTCCGCACATAGGAGAGAGGAACTTATGACGACATTTGGATCCAAGTTGGACCATTAACTAGTGACTAGTTACTGGTCCAAGTTGGACTGAAATATCCTCATAAATTTCACTGTCCTATGTATGGATTATAATCCATATAAGTGTTTGCAAGTGAACATCAACCAGGTTCACTATACAAATAATTTGTATAGTGAACCTGGTTGATGTTCACTTGTAAACACTTGTCAACATATTTGATAAAATCTAGCAGGAATTTCTGTAGATAACTTCATGTATCTTGTAACAATGTACCTTATTAAGTCTCCATGGATCTTGCAGTAGGAATCTTAGACATATTTCTTGTGTTGCTTCAGGTTTTCAGTGCTTTTACGTTTAATGTACATGATTATGCAAGGAGCGCTGGGGACTTAACTGGTGCTTGCAAATGCAGCTTCACAGATGTATTGATTTAGCCACAAAATGAAGAAAAGTTTATGTAATTTTATGACATGATAAAATGCTCATATATGTTAAATGTGTGAAGAAAATTTCACTTGTAGATGAATGGTTCAAAGAACCGACACGTTGCACATGTGTCTAATTTAATAACAAAAAAAAAAAAGGCACAATACCATGACTGGAACGATACACAAATAACCCGCACATAAAAGAGAGAAGCTTACGACGACATTTCGGTCTGACTTGGACCATTTACAAAGTCACAAAGTCGTAAGCTTCTCTCTTTTATGTGTTGGTTATTTGTGTGTCTAATTTAACAAAAAAATTATTGTCGGAGGTCTTGGGGCTTCCTATCCCAGAAACATTTATGCCATGTATCATATACAGGTGCTCCTTGACTTACGATTGTTCGACTTACAATATTTCAACTTGACGATGGTGCAAAAGCATTTCTTTTGGAGATGAAACTAGAGACATTTACCCAGCATGAAGGCAGCAAGTTCTTAACTTGTATTCATTTATATACTTTTCAATGCTGGTATTTAGGTAGTAACAGTAATTATTTATTTATTTATTTGGTGACTATTTATTTATTTATTTATTTAGCATATAGTATTCATATTCGACTTATATGTTCATATATTCATATTCAACTTACGATGGGTTTGTCAGAATGTAACCCCATTGTAAGTTAAGGAGCACCTGTATATACGTACTGTATATTCCGAGGCATTTCAGATTGTGATAACAGGTTTTATATATAATATATATACAGTGGACCCCCGCATAACGATTACCTCCGAATGTGACCAATTATGTAAGTGTATTTATGCAAGTGCATTTGTACGTGTATGTTTGGGGGTCTGAAATGGACTAATCTACTTCACAATATTTCTTATGGGAACAAATTCGGTCAGTACTGGCACCTGAACATACTTCTGGAGTGAAAAAATATCGTTAACCGGGGGTCCACTGTATTATATATGGGGGTATTGTATACTATTTTTTACTAAAATTTTGGCATACACGGGTTCATGGTTTAATTGTTGTAGCACAAAATTAGTTAATAAGTGTAGTTGGATTATGTTTTTGTATATGTTATTGGTTAAGCACACTGTATGGCAGTTTGTTGAGTGAGCAGTGAACTTCATGGGTGCAGTGTTAGTACACTGGACTGGTTCCAGGGTTCTCCAGGAGGGGGGAAGGGAAGAAGCTGATTAGTGACCTAAGTCAAGTGTGGCCCTTAACTCCAGAACATACGAAACCTTTAACCTGTCCTCAGATTCTACATTATCTATACAGAGACTCTCCTACATGTGAACATTCATGTTGCAAACTTTCGATAATATGAACAAAGATCAGCTCGAAGCTCAGCAGCAGTGTTGGGTGCTGTTGAGCCTAACGCTGATCCAAGAGGAGCTGACCAATGTATTTTTCCTGTGTTCACGTATATGTTTAAACCATGTACATTCTAGGTTACTCAATGTTTTTACTTACACATATTAAACTACAATACTGTATACGTACATATTTTGGACTTAGGAACAAATTGACTTAAAAATGACGGCTCAGAACCGAACCTGTTTGTAACTAGAAAGTATCTGTATTGTTTTCTTAATAATTTTTTTTAATTTTCTGAGTTTTAGTATTATAAGTAAACTTCCTGGGTGCCATTTTTATTATGCAATGATGAGGAAGGCATGTAGAAAAACTAGGTTTGTGAATTAATTTTTATTTGGATGCTGGAATATAGTCTGAATCATTGAAATATGCAAAGAAATAACCTTTTAGCACATATTTCTTAATTTTTAATATTTCACATCTTTTTTAACCCTTAAACTGTCCAAACGTAGATCTACGTTTTTATGCGTAGCGCTCCGACTTTGATTTTCCCCTTAAGAAAGAATGTAAAAAAAAATGTAGATCTACGTTTGAAGCGCTGCGCGAGCGAGCGTAGATCTACTTTTGGACAGTTTAAAAAATAAGTCTTAAAGAACTTATGAATTTTTCGCATGTAGCTCCTGACTTGCTTCAATCAAAATTTTGCTCATAAAATTAATATATTATTATTATACAGTTCACGTAGATGCTCATTTCAGAGTACAGTGGACCCTCGACCAACGATGGCATCGTCAACGTTAAATCCGACTAACGATACATGTTAACGCTAACATGTTGCCTCGACTAACGCTAAAAAAACTCGACTAACGATATTCGTACTCTGGTACCAGTTAATATCGTTAGTCGAGGGTCCACTGTATAGAATTATTTTTCATGCTTTGGTAGAGAGCTAGAGATCAAATAGGAGAATGTTATAATTATAACCATGATTTTTAAAGAGGTGGAGGGGTAAGCCAGTGGAAGGCTCGGCCAGATGACCAAAAGCTCCAGCTGTGGAGTCATCATATAACTAAGACCTGTGTCAGGAAGCACTTGTCCTGTTTCCTGACAAACCTTACTTAACCATGCACTTGGTAGTGCAGTGGGTGCCAGTGGCTGGCAGTGGATAGACAATGGCTCTTATGCAAGCAGGACATAGTCACAACAGGAACTTCAGACAATTCTGAAAGCAGCTTGTGTCAAGAGCTGCAAATGCTCTTTTGGTGACCTCTTGAACTTCCATACACCAGGAATCTATGCCCATTACCAGTTTTCTCAGGAAACTGCTGCTAGTCCATTGGAAGAGTAGTGCAAACATTAATCAGAAGAAAATCTACCACCCTTTCTGGCAGCTTGTTGAAGCATTGTTTGTAAGACTGATTTGCAGAGGTAATTTTATGACGTATGTACTTGATTAAACCAATTTGTTGTGATGTGTACCAATGACGACTCTTCCATAATCGTTGTTTCACCCTATTTCAACTTGTGATAAGAATAGCACTGGATGTACTGCCCAAGGACAGATACTATCTATGAAGGCATTTTTTAGCATGGGTGATGCCCTGACATAACTGGGATGGCTCTCCTGTGGTCTCAACTACTATGACTTTACCTGTGTTGTAGTAATTCACTGAAAGGAGAGTTTGAACCCATGTCAGGTCAGTGCTAAATCTAAAGAACAAAAAGGCACAAAACCGTGACTGGAACAATATACAAATACCCTGCACGTGCAGGTTATTTGTGTAGTGCTAAATCTAGCAGACCAGTATGCTGAGCACTGTACCATGCTGGTCTAATAAGAGACATCCAACTAGGAGTATTTCTATACACAAGAAAGTTTAACATAGCCACTACTATGACCACAATGCACGTTGTTACAGATGAATCTCACGCCAGCATGACTGTGACAAGCTATAGCTCAAGATCCTTGAAAGCTGCTATGAATGACTCATGAGTCAAGCGTAGTTATATGATGTGACTGGGCATATTTATAGCATTTTGTGAATGGAGTAATTTTTTATTTTTTGGAGGGGGCTGGGTTCCTGGAGACAATGGTGTTTATGAGAAACAGACATTGAATTTGCATATTCCTTTGCACATTCTGTACCTCATGAGCTCCAGTTTTCTACAGGGAGGGTAATGGCTTGGAAATAGAGTAGTGGATGAGTAGAACAGTCTACCTAGTAGTGAATGAGTGGAACAGGGTACCTAGTAGTTGATGAGTGGAACAGTCTACCTATTAGTGGATGAGTGGAACAATGTACCTAGTAGTGGATGAGTGGAACAGTCTACCTAGTAGTGGATGAGTGGAACAGGGTACCTAGTAGTGGATGAGTGGAACAATCTACCTAGTAGTGGATGAGTGGAACAGGGTACCTAGTAGTGGATGAGTGGAACAGGGTACCTAGTAGTGGATGAGTGGAACAATCTACCTAGTAGTGGATGAGTGGAACAATCTACCTAGTAGTGGATGAGTGGAACAATCTACCTAGTAGTGGATGAGTGGAACAATCTACCTAGTAGTGGATGAGTGGAACAATCTACCTAGTAGTGGATGAGTGGAACAATCTACCTAGTAGTGGATGAGTGGAACAATCTACCTAGTAGTGGATGAGTGGAACAATCTACCTAGTAGGGTCATTGAAACTAAAAGCTTGAGTAGCTTCAAATTTAGGTTAGATAAATGTATGAGTGAGAAGGGTTGGAGTTGAGTGGGACTTGCTACTGAGTGAGAGGGTTTGTTGAGTGGACTGCACATGATGAGAAGGGCTGGTGTTGAGTGGGACTTGCACATGAGTGAGAAGGTGTGTTGATGGACTTGCTATGAGTGAGAAGGGTTGGTGTTGAGTGGGACTTGCACATGAGTGAGAAGGGTGGTGTTGAGTGGGACTTGCACATGAGTGAGAAGGGCTGGTGTTGAGTGGGACTTGCACTTGAGTTTATAGTGTTATTAAGCTTATTCCTTGGCTAACATTGATAATGGTCTTGGCAAGTATTTTTTAGTGGGTTTGGGTTGGACAAGGACCTGGCAAGTATGGGCCAGTAGTCCTGCTGCAGTGTTCCTCCTTTCTTAAGTTCTTAATAGCACAAAAGAATTGTACACTGTTGATGTTGCTTGTACAGTTCCCATAATGTTATTCTCAGTAATTTTAATTCAATGTACAGTGGTTGTGGTTATACTATATCCATTATAACAGTTCATGGGCTGGGTTAGGTATATTTTATTAAAAATATATGACAGCTTTGTAATATAGGAAGGCAACTCAAAAAGGCCTGATATTAATATTTTTACGTTGAAAGGACATGGTAGGCTCTTATGGCTCACGAAATCATCATGACACGATTGCAAACAAACCATATCACAAGGGGGGGTTAGAACCCGTGACAGTCTGGAGTTTTGAGACTCTGATTATGGGTTCTAACCCTTCCCGTGACAATATGCTGTGATCAGTTAACTCGTATAATTATTAATATGGTTATTTTTTGTATATTGAGTGTAATATATGTGTGTGTGTGTGTCAGTTCTTGGAATAAAGGCTGACAGTCTTGAACAAATGCAAGGGACTTCTTTTTTAATCAGTAAAAGTACCCCTGATGGATATATTTATCCTTGTAAATAGTGATAAGTTATTAATCTTTTATGTGAAGAATTAATATTACATTTTTGTAGGTAATAAGAAAAGTAAATATACATCAGATTAATTGAAATGCTTATAAAAAAAATCAGGGTGGGCATAATAATGAATAGGTATAATAAATAATAATAAATGGGCATAAGAAAGTATATTGTGTTACATTTAGTATTTGAGGCAAGTATTAATCTAACACTTGAGCTAAATAATGAATATTTAAGAGACGTATGTAATACAGCCTCTCCTCACTTAATGACGGAGTTCCGTTCCTAAGACCTCATTGGTAAATAAATTTGATCGTAAGTGAGGATCGTACTATAATGGTAGTGGGTTTGTGTCAGCCATCTTTGATATTGTTTTAATGTCACCTTTGCACCATTTATAACATTTCTGGTATATTTTTTAAATGTTTATGCAGTAGTGTTCTGTATATTGTAATAAACAGAATAGAGGAAATCAGCTCTAATGTATATTAATTAGGTATGAATACTGGCCAAAGAGCCCGTCGTAAGTCTGAGTCGTTGGTAAACGAATACGTTTCTAAGTGAGGAGAGGCTGTATAGTAAATTGTACATATGGTGAGTCGGGAAAACCATAGTCTACATTTCCGTAGCTTTTGCAAGAGAATTGGAGAGATTTGAACCAGAATGAAGTATGATGATGTAAACTTGTTGTACCAACACCCTGGCTATGATGACTGTAAACAAATTATACTAACACCCTGGCTATGATGACTGTAAACACATTATACTAACACCCTGGCTATGATGACTGTAAACACATTGTACCAACACCCTGGCTATGATGACTGTAAACACATCGTACCAACACCCAGCTACGATGACTACAGTGATAGTATTCATTATCATAGCCATAGCCAAATTGCTTGACACAGGTTCAAATCCCATCATTTCTTTCAAAATATTGGGCATTACATTTACAGAATGGCATTCCTACTTTCAACTGGTAATATTGAAAGTTGATATTATTTTTTAACTTGGGTAATATTGTGAATAGTTATGAGATAACTGCATTTTCTTTTCCTCAATAGAATAATTAAGAAAAAACAGCAGCGTGGCAGTAAGTACGGTAAAAATGGAAAAAGTCGCAGGCCTACTGCAATTAATGTGAAATTAGATTGAAATAAGGTAGTAGGTTGGTAGACAGCAACCGCCCAGGGAGGTACTACCGTTCTGTGGTAGTTGGTTGGTAGACAGCAACCACCCAGGGAGGTACTACCGTCCTGTGGTAGTAGGTTGGTAGACAGCAACCACCCAGGGAGGTACTACCGTCCTGTGGTAGTAGGTTGGTAGACAGCAACCACCCAGGGAGGTACTACCATCCTGTGGTAGTAGGTTGGTAGACAGCAACCACCCAGGGAGGTACTACCATCCTGTGGTAGTAGGTTGGTAGACAGCAACCACCCAGGGAGGTACTACCGTCCTGTGGTAGTAGGTTGGTAGACAGCAACCACCCAGGGAGGTACTACCGTCCTGTGGTAGTAGGTTGGTAGACAGCAACCACCCAGGGAGGTACTACCGTCCTGTGGTAGTAGGTTGGTAGACAGCAACCACCCAGGGAGGTACTACCGTCCTGTGGTAGTAGGTTGGTAGACAGCAACCACCCAGGGAGGTACTACCGTCCTGCCAAGTGAGTGTAAAACAAAAGCCTGTAATTGTTTTACATGATGGTAGGATTGCTGGTGTCTTTTGTCTGTCTCTATAAACATGCAAGATTTCAGGTACGTCTTGCTACTTCTACTTACACTTAGGTCACACTACACATGCATGTACAAGTATATATATACACACCCCTCTGGGTTTTCTTCTATTTTCTTACTAGTTCTTGTTTATTTCCTCTTATCCCCATGGGGAAGTGGAACAGAATTATTCTTCCATAAGCAATGCGTGTTGTAAGAGGTGACTAAAATACCGGGAGCAAGGGGCTAGTAACCCCTTCTCCCGTATAAATTAATAAATTTAAAAAGAGAGACTTTTATTTTTCTTTTTGGGCCACCCTGCCTCGGTGGGATACTGCCAGTTTGCATTGAAAGAAAGAAGAAAGATTGAAGTTTTGTTTTGTAACTGATGCTTGTGGTTAAGGCATAATGTGTATTTAATAATAATAATAATAATAATAGTAATCTTTATTTCTACAAGTACATACCTGGAGTATACCTGGAGAGGGTTTCGCGGGTCAACGCCCCTGTGGCCCAGTCTGAGACCATGCCTCGTGGTGGATCAGGGTCTGATCAACCAGCTGTTACAGTTGGCCACACACAAACTGATGTACAAACCACAGCCCAGCTGATAAAGTATACTGACATTAGGTGCCTATCCAGTGCCATTTTTAAGACAGCCAGGGGTCTATTGGTAATCCCCCTTATGTTTGCTGGGAGGCAGTTGAACAGTCTTGGACCCCTTAAACTTAGTGTGTTGTCTCTCAGTGTACTCGTGGTACCCCTGCTTTTCATTGAGAGAATGGTACATCTCCTGCCAAGTGTTTTGTGTTCATAGGGAGAGATTTTCGTGTACAAGTTTGGTACCTGCTGCATGAGTGGGGCCCTACAGTAGCCTGGAACCTAACCTGCTGTATAAGCAGGGCCCTCCTGTACAGCAGTAGCCTGGAACCTAACCTGCTGTATAAGCAGGACCCTTCTGTACAGCAGTAGCCCAGAACCTAACCTGCTGTATAAGTGGGGCCCTACAGTAGCCCAGAACCTAACATGCTGTATAAGTGGGGCCCTACAGTAGCCCAGAACCTAACCTGCTGTATAAGTGGGGCCCTACAGTAGCCCAGAACCTAACCTGCTGTATAAGTGGAGCCCTACAGTAGCCCAGAAACCTAACCTGCTGTATAAGTGGGGCCCTACAGTAGCCAGAACCTAACCTGCTGTATAAATGGGGCCCTACAGTAGCCCAGAACCTAACCTGCTGTATAAGTGGGGCCCTACAGTAGCCCAGAACCTAACCTGCTGTATAAGTGGGGCCCTACAGTAGCCCAGAACCTAACCTGCTGTATAAGTGGGGCCCTACAGTAGCCCAGAACCTAACCTGCTGTATAAGTGGGGCCCTACAGTAGCCCAGAACCTAACCTGCTGTATAAGTGGAGCCCTACAGTAGCCCAGAACCTAACCTGCTGTATAAGTGGGGCCCTACAGTAGCCCAGAACCTAACCTGCTGTATAAGTGGGGCCCTACAGTAGCCCAGAACCTAACCTGCTGTATAAATGGGCCCCTCAAGGAAGGTTCCTTGATGTTGGTGAGGGGCTCTTGATTTAGGGAATTGGATCTGTGCTCCAGTTCCCCGAATTAAGCCTGAATGCCTTCCACATCCCCCCCCCCCAGGTGCTGTATAATCCTCCAGGTTTAGCGCTTCCCCCTTGATTATAATAATAATAATAATGTATAAATGGGGCCCTACAGTAGCCCAGAACCTAACCTGCTGTATAAGTGGGGCCCTACAGTAGCCCAGAACCTAACCTGCTGTATAAGTGGGGCCCTACAGTAGCCCAGAACCTAACCTGCTGTATAAGCAGGGCCCTCCTGTACAGCAGTAGCCTGGAACCTAACCTGCTGTAAAGCAGGACCCTTCTGTACAGCAGTAGCCCAGAACCTAACCTGCTGTATAAGTGGGGCCCTACAGTAGCCCAGAACCTAACCTGCTGTATAAATGGGGCCCTACAGTAGCCCAGAACCTAACCTGCTGTATAAGTGGGGCCTGCATGTATGTGATTTTTTGCAAATGGATTTGAGAAAGGGCATCCAAAATTAAACAGTATGTACTATGAGTGCCTTTTCATGTGATATTCAGTTTTGGATGAAGTTTTTTAATTTTATTTATAAAAAAGGTATATATATAGCAACTTGTTAAGAGGGATTTTAGTACTTATATTCTTAAGTATTTGATAGTTTTCTGGGAGTGAACACCCCCGCGGCCCGGTCAATGACCAGGCCTTGCGGTGGATCAGGACGTGATCAACCAGGCTGTTACTGCTGGCTGCACGCAGACCATTAATGGAGATGTATCACATGAGGGCAAACCTGTTCTAGCCTTAGTTTCCCCAGTTGACTTTCACATGACCTTTCAAGTCTTTACGAGGTTAGGGTCCTCTTGTCTGCTTGTGAATGGCAGGTTTGGCCAACCTTTTTTATTGAGTGTGTCAATCAAGGCAGGTTCCTTGATGCTGGTGAGTGGCTCTTGATCCAAGGAGTTGGAGTTGGGCTTGTCCTCCTCTTGACTGAATCTGATTGCTTAATTCTGCCTAGTAGTATTATTAGTAGTAGAGGTAGTAGGTAGTAGCAGTGGCAGTAGTAGTAGTAGGAGTGGCAGTAGTAGTAGTAGTAGGAGTGGCAGTAGTAGTAGGAGTGGCAGTAGTAGTAGGAGTGGCAGTAGTAGTAGTAGCAGTGGTAGCAGTAGCAGTGGTAGTGGTAGTAGTAGCAGTGGTAGTGGTAGTAGTAGCAGTGGTAGTGGTAGTAGTAGCAGTGGTAGTGGTAGTAGTAGGTATATAGTTGGTGTGGTTGGATCATTCGCCTAGAGGACTGGTGAATTCAAATTCAAATTCAAATTCAAAGTTTATTCTCTATAAGCATTACAATGCTGAGTTTACAGAATTGGTTATTGTGTGGTTTACATGTAGTAAAATAATAATTATAGAGTGTACCACTAGAACGCCTAGCATGGCTAGGCATTTCGGGCAGACTTAGAATAATTCTTAAATTTAAAATATTACAAATTATGAGGTAAGTTGGTATTATGGCTAAGTGACTAAATACTAGTTTGTGAGTTTAGCAATGTGAATGCTTTTGTTTTGGCACAATACATAGTTTCAGTATTGGAGTATCACAGGCCAACTTATGACTAGTTAGGAATCATTATTTTAAGATTGAGATTGATATTTCTGTTTATTGTCAAATGGGTGAGTGAGTGTAAGTGTGAACCACCGGGTGGTATTCGTGTAGTTAGTTGATGGGGTGTATCAGGGAGATGAGATGTTTTCTAATGGTAGTTTTGAAAGTGATGAATGTGTCTGCAGTTCTAGAGTTCTCAGGTAGGGTGTTCCAGATTTTAGGGCCTTTGACATACATTGAATTTTTGTAAAGGTTTAGTCAGACACGGGGAATGTCGTAGAGATGTTTGTGTCTGGTGTTATGCCTGTGGGTTCTGTCACAACTATCAAGAAAGCGTTTTAGGTCAAGGTTGATATTGGAGTTTAAGGTCCTGTAGATGTAGATTGCACAGTAGTAAGTGTGGATGTTCTGAACAGGGAGTAAGTTTAGATCTATGAAGAGTGGGGGGGGGGTGTTGCCAGGGATGGGATTTAGTGATTATTCTTACTGCGGCTTTTTGTTGGGTTATTATTGGCTTTAGGTGTGTTGCTGCAGTTGATCCCCAAGCACAAATAGCATAGATGAGGTAAGGATAAATAAGTGAGTGGTATAGTGTGAGAAGGGCATTTTGCGGCACGTAGTATCGTATCTTGGAGAGGTAAAGTTTGATTCTCACTACCCACTCTGGGCATACCTGACCAGTCAGACTAGCTGAATTGACTTTCAACTGTTACTAGCTCCCTGACAACTGTTACTAGCTCCCTGACAACTGTTACTAGCTCCCTGACAACTGTTACTAGCTCCCTGACAACTGTTACTAGCTCCCTGGCAACTGTTACTAGCTCCCTGATAACTGTTACTAGCTCCCTGACAACTGTTACTAGCTCCCTGGCAACTGTTACTAGCTCCCTGACAACTGTTACTAGCTCCCTGACAACTGTTACTAGCTCCCTGACAACTGTTACTAGCTCCCTGACAACTGTTACTAGCTCCCTGACAACTGACAGGCTTGGTTAGTGAAGATAACTAGCAACGTTGCCTCCCAATAGCACTAAAGTCTAGGGACGGTATCTTTCCCACAGACGCAGTTCAAACTCCCGCAAGACTGGCCCCACATGACCCACTCCCACACACACAAAACTCCACTCCCTTTTCCCCACATATACATTACTCTCTTGCTCCCACACACACGTCTCCCCCATGCCCCACTACGCAAAACAGGGCCACATAGTGATGGAGGCACAACTGGTTAGAGATAAGTGGCGGGTTGATGGAAGAGCCGGACGCAACCTGCTTCGTAGCTTCTGCTGTTAGAACTTTGTGGCCCGGTCCCTAGACCCGTATGCGGCTCTGATGTTGAGGTGCAGTCCCTGGACCTATTATGTGGCTCTAATGTTCAGGTACAGTCCCTGGTCCCATTATGTGGCTCTAATGTTGAGATACAGTCACTAGACCTATTATGTGGCTCTAATGTTGAGGTACAGTTCCTAGACCTATTATGTGGCTCCGATGTTGAGGTACAGTCCCTGGACCTATTATGTGGCTCTAATGTTGAGGTACAGTCCCTGGTCCCATTATGTGGCTCTAATGTTGATGTACCGTCCCTAGACTTACATAAATTATCATACACAGAAAAGTGTGTAAATTACCCACCACGATAACCCGAGAAAATGTCAAAGTGACTTAGATGTGTATGCAAAAAGCCCATACTTATAATTTCGCCCCCATTGTATTTCTCAAAACAGATATAGTCCCACTGCCCCCATGGGTTTAGCTCGTTCCCCATGAATAAGCGCAGGTGCCGAGAGAGAACCAGTAAATCGGGTGAATATGTCAGAAGTTCAAGATGGGTTATGATTTGCCAGTTTTACCCAACCTTCCCTGCCTGAGGTTGGTTCCTTGATGCAGGTGACGAGGCTCTTGATGCACTTCCTAAAGGGAGGTTCCTTGATGCAGGTGACGAGGCTCTTGATGCACCTCCTGAAGGGAGGTTCCTTGATGCAAGTGACGAGGCTCTTGATGCACCTCCTGAAGGGAGGTTCCTTGATGCAGGTGACGAGGCTCTTGATGCACTTCCTAAAGGGGTTTTCCTTGATGCAGGTGACGAGGCCCCTTGATGCACTTCCTAAAGGGAGGTTCCTTGATGCAGGTGACGAGGCTCTTGATGCACCTCCTGAAGGGAGGTTCCTTGATGCAAGTGACGAGGCTCTTGATGCACCTCCTGAAGGGAGGTTCCTTGATGCAGGTGACGAGGCTCTTGATACATCCCCTGAAGGGAGGTTCCTTGATGCAGGTGACGAGGCTCTTGATACATC